AACTATACTCAAATCATGGCCATAGACACATGATCTCTACACTAGGTAGAGAGAGTATCTATCAAAATCTTCATTTCGCTCTTTCTATCCGATAAGGTTGTAGCATTCATTAGCTTTGTTACTTTGGGCAAAAGGAGGTCATGACCATGAAGCGGTGAGGGTGAACAACATCTAGCGTAAAGTCCCTATACAACAATTCAAACATGGTGCAATACAAAGAATAAATAGGATTGTCACCACCTACCGACTCATATGGCTATATGGGGTTGAGTGCAATCCAAGGTAACTTCTAGTCTAGACATCGCATCCACATTATTGGTAACTATCTATACCACAACTTTTGATAAATACACTCACGATAAACTACAAGCTATTTACTGCAAATGAGAATGCCCGTAGCAAACAAGTAAAGAACTTGATCGCTTCTCAAATAAAATGAGCATATCTATTGGCGAACATAAGATAGGAACTCACTCGACATTGGGCCCCCGAGGTACAATGTGGAGAATAAGTTGAATGGTGAAAACTTTTACTCCCCCAACACTCTCACCTCACCTTTCTCCCTATATTTCTTAGAGTAGTGTGGTAGGACTTCAGCTTCGAATGCTTCTTCTTCCACATGTTTGAAAGAGTGGCGCTAACGTGCTATATATATGGCCTCACTAGGTATTCACAGGGCATTCTCATTGGTGAGCTGGCATGCTAGAGGAGGCAAGATCCAGGGTGACCAAACTCATTTGATTCACCTATGGGTGTTCACCTTATGTAACCGCCTTTTCTACTAACACTTTGGATTGTCCTATAAGTTGATAGTTGGTGTGCATGTGTAGGGACCAGCCAAGGATAAACTTGAAATAGGACTTGATGCCCCTACAGGAGTAAAAGGAGGAAATAAGTTCATTTATTTCATAGTGAATAAACAATTAACTCACTATAACCATCTTCAATTGCTTTAGCTTTGTGCTCTTCTTGAGCAAAGTTTGAGAATAAATTTGAAGTGTTTTTCACCTTTTTGCCAAACTAGAATGAGAGCCAAGCAGTGGACCAAAATGTCCTTGTTTTGTAGTGCTGGGTGTGGTGCCCTTCAATCTAGGAGCGGAGGCCTGCTCGTGTTAGATCATTGTTCCTCCATCCCACATTCTTGATGTATTGTGTCTGTGTTTGTTGGCATAGGAGCAAAGGGGACACGAGGAGCTAACACGAACTGGCCTAGGCTGACCTGTGACTTTGTCCAAAAATGCTCAAATTAGGTAATGAGTTCTTGGTGTACTCGGATTCATCAAATCTTATGGAAATAATTAGCTTCAGCAAAGATCTTCTAGGTGTTAGCTTTGAAATTACGGTTATTCAAGATATGTTGGATGTCGAATTTGGCATAATAGATCACCAACACACACTAAGAGTTATAATCCAGGGCTTGTAAATTTTGCAAGACCCTTCAACGTCATTTGTGTAGTGGCTACCGGTGTTGTGCAAGGTAGGAGAGACCATCGGCCTTTTGGCCAACTCAGTGGAGACGGAGGGGAGCATGGTGGATAAGGTAAGGCGAAGACCCATTTTCATGTGGAGAAAGACACATCGACTATCCATAGGATTATCCAATTAGGAGCTCAACATTCCTTGCAAGGGGATCCAACAAGAATTAGGAGATAGCTCGCTTGTGCCGATAGATTTACTTTTCTAGACTTTTTTATACCTCAATAAAAAGTCACCACTATTTGCACATATTTGAATTTTGCATAACTGGAGGTTTGTTTTGATGCCTACTTTAAGGCCATGGAGTAGGATATGGTGAGTGTGGTGAGGAAGTGGGCATCGTGTTCCACCAAGAGTTGGATGACTCAAGCAATGAAGATGGACATGCAAATGCAAATGTTGGCACTAGGTCAAAGGATCTTAGTCCAACTCAAAGTAGAAAGCTTAAGAATTTGATAAGCTAGTTGATATGATTAGAACCTATCATGCTCAAAGAAAGTTTTATCCACTACTACGAAATCGATTTGCTTTCCAGCAGAACGGGCAAACGCGTCCACCACCGCTGAAAGGTCACGGTAAATCACATATTGTGTGAATGGCAATATGCACTAAACAACTAACCTGGAGGTTTGTTTTGATGCCTACTTTAAGGCCATGGAGTAGGATATGGTGAGTGTGGTGAGGAAGTGGGCATCGTGTTCCACCAAGAGTTGGATGACTCAAGCAATGAAGATGGACATGCAAATGCAAATGTTGGCACTGGGTCAAAGGATCTTAGTCGAACTTAAAGTAGAAAGCTTAAGAATTGTGATTGGAAAAAGGTTGACGCTGACGTGTCACAAGCTCAAACAATTCCATCGCACAGAACGTCTATTATAAGGTCTCTAGCTCAAGCTTTAGGTTCAAACAAAAGCATATTGCATGGGCTGTTCAAAGATGGACTCTTACGACAACACTAGTGGAGCCTCTCAGAGGTGAAACTAGGTCCTTTCCACATGTATACTTTATTTCTTCTCTAAACTAGGTTGTATTATATGGAGAAACTACTACTATTCTTTGTACAAAGCTTAAAAGTAGATTGTTTTGTAGATATATTGCATAAATACAAGGCATTTGCATCAACGACCTCTTGCAAAAATCATACATTAATTTTATTATTAATTTAGCCTCTACCCCCCTTAATTAATCCCCACGCTCCACCACTATATGAAGGCACGCTAACTCATTAAAGACATATCTAAAGGAAGCAACTAAAAAAAGAAAATATTGTGGTGGTGTGTTTGAATGGTATATCCACGTATATTGCAAAATGAACCAAAATTTATTCAAATGGACATCAACATCCACCTAGATGAGAAGTATTCTGATAGTCTTATGTTACGCATAGCATTAGTTTATCACCAGATAAGCATAGGTAGTTCCAGTTGTAGAGAATCGTGATTCATGGATTGCCCGAGCGGCGTTGTAGGTTTGCTTAATTAAGAAGAGGAGAATTTGAAGGCATTACAGGTAGAGATGAAAACGGATCGTACGGACGGATATCACTGATATTGCATTTGTTTTCATATTTTTGTTCGGATTCGGATTCGAATACGGATAGTGTCAACCATGCCGGATAGGATATGATTAGATATCGACATCATAAATATGCGATTTGAGTATTCGGATACGGATACGGTATCGGATGTTGAATATCCGGACTCGGATATGGCAGATCTGAACCCCTCTAAATGAATTCGGTCTCAAATACGGTCAGAAAATATCCGTACCATTTTCACCCCTAGTTACAGGAGAGGTGAACAGAAGAGGAGAAGTGATAAAACGAGCAAAACTTGGCACGAAAATGTACCAAATTAAAGAAAAAACATGAACTCTTTGGTTTACATAGTCTCTATATGAAGCGCCACAGGATAAGGATACATATCCTCAGTCTCAAACTGAGTTAGGTAGTTGCTACTACAAGCACTGCTCCTGCTCACTTATCTAACGAAGCCACAACACTTGTTTTTGGCGGCCAGCGCCATGAGGTTGCCTAGCAGGATCCTAACTATCTGAAGCTTGAGTTGGCCCTCTTGAGCGGCGGCCTCTTCTCCTTGTTGCAGGCGTGAGCGTTGCAGGGGTACCCACACTCCATTGCAAAACTTCTCCGCTTACTTTCTCTCTACTAGCCCACAGTCGTAGGCTTCTGCTATCTCCTGGTGGGGAAACTCACGTTGCTAGTGGAGAAGGCGAGAGCCCAATGGATGGATGGTTTGTGGAGGAGGCGTGCGTTTTATAGCTGAGGTTCTGGCACCCGCTACGTTCAGAGATGGGAATTGGGAACGCGTGTTCTTCATGGTATCCGTGGGGTCCCGGAATAAAGTTGTAGTTGCTCGATGAAAAAACTTGAAACTCCCAGTTTTTTCTAGGCGGTTTTAGTTTGACCAAATTTATATAAAAATATTAATATTGAATATCATTATTTAATTACCAAATATAAAATTATATTTACTAGTAGCCATAAATATTAATAATATTGTGTCATTTTACTCACATAAAACTTTGGTAATCTCTTTCCTCATTAGTAGGGTGTCATTTTAGCATATCTACTAATTTGGTGCTTATTTAATGCTCATGCAACTTTTATGGTGTTATAGCTATAATTGTATTTTTTTCATGAAATTGAGGGAGTACTTATCTTTTCACCTAGCTTGTGAGTTGTGAATTACGATCCTACTAAGGTGAGTCTAAGGGGAGATTTCATATCCCAGTTTCTAAGACTCCCATATAATTAAAACAATATAGATAAGTTTCATCCTCATGAAATTCATTTTATCTCATGAAACTTTAATCATCACTCTCTTCATCTATATTATGTCACATCTATACTATGTTATATTAGCTCATTTAATGTCCATAAAACCCCACTAATACTGCCCTAATCGAGCCTATCGTTCCTAGTTTGCCAATGCCATCATGTTCTGGTTGTAACTGGGTTCTTGTTTAATGATTAATAGCGCACAAAATTTGTCGTATTGCATCAAATATCCCCTTCACCTCATTCTAGCTTTTCTTCCGAGCAGTGAATTGTCCGTAAAGCCTTTTTCTCGCGTGCGACGTTTTTTTTAGGTTCTAGCCTAGTACTATCACTAAATAAACACGGTCCGTTTTTATTGCAATTATCTTCGCACTATTGAGATGTCTAATATCCAGCAATGATATCAAGAGTTTTTGTATCCCAATAATAAAATGGTCAGATACGCTTTATGTAACAAATGCAGGATAAAAATACAAAAAAAACCTAGTGCGCATCTTCTATATATATACTTGTGCGTATTTTTATATGTACAAAGTTGACTTTAGTTTGTAGAGACCCTAAATCAAAACACCTCCATCTTAGAACATAAAATTTAATTCACGACTGCATTTCATACATATTCTTGGATTGCTTCTTTTTATGGATCCATAAGGTTCAAGATTTGTCCACTGCTCATTTGTTGAAGACGCCCTAAATAAGGTCCCTTAATCAATGGATAAATCCTGTCCTATATCTTCAACACCCGCTCACGGACACAAGTTGCATTGGTCTGGATATAAAATACAAAAAGTAAATAAACATACAAACTTATGCCCGCCACCGTCACGAATGACCATTGTGACACTGGGCACGGTGGATCTAAAAACCTTTGATAATCATAGTAACGCTTGTTTGCACAACACCTCCACAAAACAGTACTAATATACGATTGCCTAATAAGCACACACACATCCCCATATGCCGCAAGCCTGCAACGTCAGTGGCAAAAATTTGCAGAACTTAGCATTGGTCATATACTTAACTGGGTGGTACAAGAAAACGCAAAAGAGGAAACTACTGGATGTGTGGAGAACTGGCTCTGATTGGAGATGCGTGATGACAGCACAGGTAACGATTGCCACGGAGGGAAATCAGGTCGCCATGTCCGATTCAGGTTCGATGGCAGAGCGGAGTCCCTGACGGACCATCATCTGTGCGTAGAACTCGGCGTGCTCCTGTTCAGGTATCAAAGCAGCACAGAACTAGGAGTAAGGATTTTTTTCCCCATTTAAATCCTGTTGCCATAGCCTACGTGCCGCCTTCCTGCCAGCTCCAACTGAAGTTCCAAAGGCAACGACGCTCGCCGGGCATGCACGGCGATTGCAAAAGGATACGGGTGTGATTGCACATACCTTGACGGCAACGATAACAGTCGCGACGCCTCTCAGCCGAGACTCGTGGAACAGCTGCCGTGCGGCTTCGGCGGTTATGGAGGGCACCACCTGCGGCAAGGCCTTCTCCACTGCAGGCGGGCACGACGACAACGGCAGACGTGAGCCCAGCCCAAGGCTCAGAAAACTTGGGAGTTGGGATATCCGGCGAGGATGCAGGACAGAAGAAAGGGCGAAGGAGCAGAGCACTTACCGTGCTTCTCGGTGTGGCGCACGTCGTCCACGAGCAAAACCTTGTAGCTGTCGCCGCTCCCGGAGCGCCTCCCATCCTTGAGCCTTCCGGGGTCCCCTCCTTCCTGCGTGACGGGGAGCGTGTCGAGCTGGGACTGGTCGAATGCCGGCGGCCGCTCCAGCACCGCGCCGCCGCTCGCGTGAGACGCCGTAGCAACTTTCATCGTCGCCTTCGTCCGCAGCCGGGCCGCGCTCTGGTTCACGGAGACGGTGGAGGGAAGCGGAGTGGTGGCCGCGGTGTTCGGGACGACGAGCGCGGCTGCTCGTCCGCTGATGGCCATTGCCATCGACGACCCGACGCCAAGACTCGAACCCAGGAGAGGAGATATTCTCGCGTTTGGGAAAGGGAAACTGGCAGAGGCAATGCAGGCAGGCTAGGCAGAAAGCTTCTTGCTCAGGTGAGAAGCAGCAGCTCTTGCTCGACACTAATGCCGAGATTTATTCAGGGTTTCAAGCAAGAGAGTGCCAAGAACTGCATGTAGAGCTTTTGAGAAAACTCTAGATCCTTGGCTAGCATAGGCCAAGCTGGAATTACTTCTACGTTTTCTTCACGCCGCGCTCTCCGTAGTACAGCCGTACAGGCACTGCAAGTGTACAAGAGCGCATACAACACAACCGAAACACGATAATGTCTGAACGGCCACCCGTTTGCCACGACCACTTTTAGGCACCACATTTGTACGTCTCAGATACGACGCACCCGTTTGCCACGACCACTCTTCAGTGTTCTAGGCTAGCCAAACTGACTCATCATGTACGTCTCAGATACGACGCACACGTGCTGGACCCTCTGGCTGGCCTGCAGTTCACAACAGGCACGTTCTACATGTTGGCATCCAGCATCAAGCAGCTGGCCAAGGAACTCTGTGGTGGCCGCTGTGTCTTCTTCCTGGAAGGCGGGTACAACCTGCAGTCGCTCTCCAGCTCTGTTGCTGACACGTTCCTTGCATTCCTTGATGAGCCCAGCCTCGCAGCACAGTTCGATGATCCAGCGATACTTTTTGAAGAGCCGACTCGGAAGATCAAAGACGCAATTGAGAAGGCCAAGGGCATCCACTCACTCTAGGCTGGCACTAAATTTGGAAAAAGCGCTGTCAGCAGTGTGTACTGCAGAAGTGCAAGATCTTGTTGCATTTTGCAGGTAGTGCATAGTTTGAACTTCTGGTTCACCAGAAAATGGAATTACCAATCTCTCAGTAGCAGCAGTGTATAGCTAGAACTTTAGGGAGCTAGCTTGCTTCACCGGCGCGAGCTACGAGAAGCTTGCCAGGCTAGGCGAGCCGATTTGGCTTTCTCGCCTGGCAAGGCAAGCAGGGTAGACGCACAGTCTCCGACAAAACCTCGTTCAAGTTCCAAACGCACTGCTTGTCTGCTCTCCGAGCTGGACGAGGTTAAACAGTACTCCCTCCGGTTCTCTAATCTTTAAGAAACAACTTTGATTGCAATTTTTTGCTATAAAATATTTATAAAATATAGTCAATATATATATTTTTATGAAACTACATTTCGAGATGAATCTACTTACATCACTTTCATATTTTCAAACTCAAGGCGAAAAAGTTATTTCAGCCTGGCAAAGTTTAAAATATTCGACAAAACCTCGTTCAACCTCCAAACGATTTGCTTGTCTGCTCTTTAGAGCTGGACGAGGAGGAGTACAGAGCAAAGAACCCAATGGGCCCTAAAGTGAACATCTGGGCCATTTGGGTCTGCTGCTGAACAAGGGCCTGTGCGTGGGCCTCTGGCTGCTGCCTAAGCTGCTCCTGGAACTCCTAGAAGAGTATCTGTCGTTGGTGCTGTCTAGCGAGTGTCTCCTCCATCCTCCAGGAGTCAGCTGTCTGTCTTTCCTCGACCTCTATTAGCCATTTAGCCGTGAAAGTATCTGAACAAGCTCTGTAGGCTGTTCCACTGAGGCCTCGGTCACTAGTGGTGGAGCATTGGTAACAGGTATATCGTCGTCGTCGTCTCTGCCTACACTCAAACCTCCCCCATCGTGATCGTGTCAACTGTGACCTCTCCGAGGCGAGGAAGTGTAGTTAGAGCACTCCCAATATAGAAATTGGCATGATTTTTGTCCCTATTAATTACCTTGTCACGTAGACATTGTGCTGACGTGGCAAATAATTAATTGAGAAGAGAGTAAAAATCGAAAAAATGGTTTCTAAACAAGAAAGTGTGTCTTCACATGAATCGATGTGGAAGAAATTAAAGGTGTTGGCTACTGGTTCATTCCTCATTTGAGTAGTTGGACAAGGAGAGCAGATTGGATGGGGGTAAGAAAAGGACCCCCACAAGAATAATTCCGTATTCTAAGTGTGGTTTATATGGGTAGTTTTTTAGGCTATGAAAATTATCCAATAGTTTCTCCATTGAGAGTGCCCTTATTATCCTCACTTTCAGTCTCGAATTCGAGGTCAATCGAACTATCCCTCCAAATCTAGCCACATGCTCAGCCTCCTCGAGTGTTGCGTCCTCCTATGCATGTCTACCTATCCTCGAGGGCTAAGGTAAGTGAGGAGCTCGTGGGTAGACGCCTCATAGGTCTCCTGGTGGTTGACATGTGCGATCTTACTCAACAAGTAGCTCTCATCGGGTAAGGGTAAATCCACTTATGTCCAATTCTGATCGCATCTCCAACCATGTCCTCGATCTCATTTTTTCTCACTCAAAAAGAAGTCAAGGAACTTGAACTGCTCTCCTATCCAGAGTGAAAGAAGCAGCCACTGTTGCAAACTCGTCAAGGACTCTCCGTTGCCCCCTATGGGCAATGTTGTCTTCTGCAATGCAATGTGCACGTACACCTCTGGTAGCAAACGGTCTGACATGCAGAGAGACCCATCGGTGAAGGGTTGTTTGACTTGTTGGTGTAGGGAATGAGCCTCCAACTCTCGCACAACCAGGTGGAATGAGCGTCTCCATAGAAATTTTTTGTGCACTCTTGTCTGACTCGACTACTCCAAGGTATGTCCTTAGTGTCTCTTTGTACCGCCTATGTGGTTCATCCTCCAGCATAAACTGAATGTACTCCCTCTCTGGGTGGATCCTCATTGTTGCGTATAACTACCTGACCCAAGGTACTACGGTACTACGATTTAGTCCACCTAGATGAACAAGTGAACAAAACCCTGAAACCTCTTGAAGAGGGGACCAGATCGGTCTACCTGTTGCACGCTCCAACCCTATCCAACCAACATGCCTCTAGTCAGTTAGGGTGATCCCTCTATCACAGTAGCTCCTTTAGATTAGTGGCGGTCCAAAACTTTACTACCGATGCCTTCCTCCTTGACCCGAGGAAACCACATCTCTAGGGCTAGGGCACGGAAACAGATACTCTCGATCCTCCTGGTGGTGACTTTGGGGTACTAGGGTTGCTCAGTATGCTCAGCCTATTGTGCCTCTCTCTCTCTCTCTCTCTCTCTCTCTCTCTCTCTCTCCTTCCTCTTCATGCCAGAGAGGGCATATGTTAAGCATCCTTGGGTATGAGGGTGCTGACAAGTAGCGGCTAGTGACAACTCCTGTAGAGCAAAAGTGGAGGTCTAGTGTGTGGAGTAGAATTGTCTCATCTTCTCAAGTTGCTCTTGGGTGAAGGCTTGTCCACCTAGTCTTTGTCGGCTGACTTTCCTTAAGCAGTTGTTCTCCTGCTGGTCTGTCTTTCTGAAATCCATAGACCACTGCCTCGGCTCTGACTTGACTCCTAAGCTAGCATGGCCAGGGTGGCCTGCTCCATGCACTCTCGGTGCCCCTCTATCTTGATCTTCTTCTATCTAGGCTCCTTTGTTGCCTTCCCCTTTCCCTTTCCTGCCATCTGCATGAGAATATGGTGGAAAGATCGAGATAGGTGTGGATATATCAAAAGTAAAAGTGTAGCTATGAGATAAGAAAAGATGTTCTAATAGCATAGCATGGATAGATAGATTTGAACATGCAGACATTGACAGAAGATGGCTTATGACATGATAAGGGATATGAAATCCTGACCAAGAGATTAAGCATAATACTGATGGAAGAGCATGCCATGAATGAGCCAAGGATTTAGGGAATTGAATGGAGGAAACCGCTTATACTATCACAATGAATCAATTATACCATAAGAGCAACTCCTAGAGCTCTTAGGTGTCATGGTAGTGATTAGTGACTCGACAATTCAATTTGAATGCTTTTAAATTTAGTTTTGAATTAAAACTTAATTTTGAGCATGTGTTTTGTTAAGAAACTTCGGATTTTACCTAAACACGCATGCTAAAAAATTTGAGCATGTGTTTAGTTTTTTGGGGATTTTTTTCAAAAAAAAAATCTCCCTTGCCGTCTTGCCAAACTGGTGAAGAGCCTCGACTGATATTCGTGCGCGCGCATAGCATCTTTGGAAAAGAAAATTTGAAGACCATTGAGATATGGCAACGATAACGGCTCTTAGGAATTTGACAGATGTGCTGTAGTATTAGCACCTTAACAAAGTCAAGTCAAACACTGTCATATCCGTACATTGAAAACCAACCACACATACATTTAGCATCACGCATTGTCTATAAACACAGTTAGAATTATCTCAAATCAACCCGGACAGATCATACATGACACGAGTAAAACAACCTAACTCAGATAATACATCACGGAGTTAAAAGAGCACAAAACCTAACAATCATAAGGCCTGATCAGGCAGCAGGGACATCCTTCAGCGTTGCAGGATCGACCTTCGGAGGGTCTGAATGGCGTCTCACTCTTTCCTTCGGCTTATCTGTCGGCACAACACTTGGTTTATCGACGACGGGGAACGACAGGCGCTTCTTAACAACGGAGTGGACCAGAGGTGCTCTCTCAGGAACCTCAAGCTTCTCAGTCAATAGACTGCGGTACCGAGACTTCGCCCTTGCAGACTCTGTCGAGTGCATGTAACTGGGGAGAGGTGGTGTGCTCGTCAGGCTTGCATCATCCCGGACCGAGCCTCCACCTGTGCTCTGCCTCCTTGGGCGCTCAGAGCGTATGCTTGTGATGCTCCTCAGGTCATCCTCCTTGTACAGCCAATTGCCCCTTGGACTTGCTGGCCTGGTCTTTCCTGAGGTTGATGGGGCCTTTGATGGCGGAGTTGAAGGTGATTGCCGGCTTGGTGGGCGGCTCGACTTGTTTGGTGTTGCTGGTCTCTGGATTGAGATGGCACGGGGTACAGATGATCGAACAATACTGGTGCTTGGATTCTTTGTCAGAGCATGATCTTTAGGATCCTTGTCTGATGGCGCCAATCGGCTCTCCCAAGGTCTTGCTGTCATCCAGCGTTCCATCCAGCTCCAGCCCCAGTTAGGGTTCCCAGGTTCCGTGAAAGTAGGGGTTATAGTTCGACCAGAATTCCTCCACTGCATCAGAAGACCAAAAAAAAAAAGAATGACGAAAGAGTGAGAAACAGAGCTACATGTATAGAACAAATCAATGTAGAACAGAAATTGGGAACAGCTAAACAAGAAAAATAATATACGAACTCAACAGAAACAAAAGAGACAACTTGCCTGGTGAGAAAATGCATATGCAAGTGCTCTTTCTCGTCTCAGTGCAGCTTCCTGTTTCATCATTAGGTTGGCCTCAATTTGCTCTTTGGATTGATGGCTGTGATCCCAGTCCTCATCAATCTGATAAGAAAATTGAGTGTCAGAAATCTCTTATATCAGGACCGTCCTATTCTATAATTGCATCATCTAGTACCCAAAGAAAAACTCTACTTGGGTGCGACATTATGTTCTAAATTATGGTACAAAACATAGGGATAGAGAAAAACACATTTTTCCTAGACATCAATGTAGCTTAGACTCTTGCATCAAAATGGTGTGCTCACCTTCATTTTCTCAAGTTCCCTTTGATGTTTCAATTGGAACTGCCTTTGAAGAGCCTGTTTTTCCTCCTCCAACTTCACCCTTCTAGAGTAGATTTGAGTTTGAACTCTTGTCATTGTTTGTGTGCATTGCAAGGTGTGAGCGGTTTGGCGCTTGACAGCATTTCCATCAACAAGTGACTTCAATCTAACTAGACCTCTTAGTGCCCGCAATGCTCTCCTTGCCTAAAATTGAAATTTGTTTTTGCAGATTTAATAAGCACTTAATATCCCATAGAACCAAAAATAAACAAAATATTCATATAAATAGGTCAATGAATCCAACAAGATAAGTGGAAGTATTCTCAATAGATCATGTTTAGTCACACTTTAACTTGTTTTTTCAGCTGTAACATTAGCATCAGCATCTCTTTAAGTGCCATAAAAGATAGGAAACATCAGATAAATATAAGTTTGAAAACGACCAGCAAAGTGAAATCTTGGCTGTATTCTAAAACGAACAGATCATAGAGATACACAATGACGATAGACAGCAACACTTTACCAACCAAATCAGATGTCTTACAAAATATTAACCAAAAGTTAGTTTCATGCATGGTCTCAAGTGCTAATAAGTTCAAGACAGTGACCGACAGCAGTCAGAGGATCTGAATTTTCTTACTATAGGGCTAGTGCAACGACATCAACAAGATAACAGAAGCAAATAGTAAATGACCTACAAGTGCAGATGAATTACCAGATAACCCCTGAAGGCAGTCTGAATCTTGGTGGCAGCAAGTTCTTCCCTTGAACTAACAGGCATTTTTGGTGCAGGCGTGGTAACTGCTGTGAGGCGGACAACCTCCGCAGCAGCCTGTGCAGCAACTGCTGCAGCTTCAGCAGCAACAGCAGATGCAAGCGCAACGGAGTAGGCATGCTTGTTCTGCTCACTGTCTGTTTCAACTGGATTGACATCTTTAATCTCCAGAGAGTGGGGCTGAGTTGGTGGTGGTGATGGCAACGGAGCTACTGGAGCAGTCCCTGGTACCGTTGAGATCGAAGGTTCCGAGTGCTTCTTCGATTTTCCAAATGACCATCTCCTCTTGCATTTTGACTTGTCTGCCTTCTCAGCCTTCATAGTAGCCACAAGTCATATAGATTGAAATGAAAGAACTTTGATGACCAAGTGGACAATTTTTTTTGGCTGTGAATAGGGAATTTCGACATACCTTTGCTGCCTTTCCATCCGGATCAGAGGAGCTGAAGACTTTCTTCACCGCACTAAGCCACTTTCCTTTCTTACCCATTCTTTGGGTTCTATTACTGCGCCTTCAATGTCTAGCAGCAAGCCAAGTACATGAACAGATCAAAGGTGTGCCAGAATGTCTCCACTAAAAAAAGGCTGTACCCAAATATTTGACCAGCAGAATCTAATATTTGCAACAGCAACCAAAACATGATGGAAAACACGAAAAAAATCAGTAGTAATAAAGCAGGGATCAAAAGGTCTACTTAGTGTTCTTGTACTCCCTCATAATTCATGCATCCATGAGTAAAAATTCTAAAAAAAGAAAGTCATAATACCAGTACCAGAGAATATGCGAAATGAAGATAAGTTCTACGGTTCTACCACAAATCGACAACAGGAACAGCTTCCCAGTTCCCACTGCTCAAATGTCGTACAGCCAAAAAAAGAAAATAAAATCCAGTCTTCACCACGAACTAGCAGGATTACAATACACCAAAGATTGGACTGAATCGAGCAGAAAAAAACCATGAACTATGTGGAATTGAGCCTACAGGCAAGCTGTGTGGCGTGTTCATCTCGAACCAACGCACAATTTTTCGCCATAAAGAAGAAAGACGCGTTTTGGCACACTTCGTGTGGCGTTTTCTATCCTTCGGCACTCGATGAAGCGCTCAGCGGGGAATTTCTCACCGGAAGGCCGAAACACAAACGGGATGACTGACTCTCGAACACCTGTGCCTGAAGCACCCGCCGCACCCCCGGTTCCACAATCGTTGCGCAAAACCAGCCAGAAAAACCCAAAACAAAACCTCAGGCAAATCCAACCAAGAGGAATCAAACACCGGGGCGCGCAAAACCCCCCAAAGATCCGAATTTACCGCGAGAAAGGCCAGCTTTCACGTCGAAGCAAGTTAAGCAACCACCGAAAGCCCTGAGCCCCTCACCTTCCTCACCGCACTGAAGGCGCCAACGACCTAACTCTGGTCGCCCTCGGAAGCCACCGCCCACCGCAAGGACACCTATCACCTCCTCCTCCTCTACGGCTTATAGTCAGATCAAACACGCCACCAACGCATCCAGGACGAAGAAAAAAAAATAAACCGGGGGCGAAAAGGAAAGTAGAAGGCGAAGATGGAAGTGGAAGGGCAAGCAGCCCAACCTTTTTTCTCTCGCTTTCCTCACCAGTCCAAAGTCGCCCCCTTTTATCGGCTAGCCCAGCCGCGCACGCAGAATCGATTCGCCCACCCCACCGCCCGGACGCGACCCCGCCCGCCCTGTTCACCCCCGCCTGGGTACGTGGCCCCGCTTTCAGCCGCGGACCACGGCGGCGGGGGAGGCGGGCAGCCGGAGGTGGGGTGCGGCGGGGAGCGGGGCCCGCCGGCGACGACGAGCCGTTCCCTTCCGCTTCCGCTCCCGATCTCCTCCCTCGTGACGGTCACGCTCCCGGTGCCAGCCGAAAGGCGCTGTCCCTGTTTACCTCTTATATTGGCAGCGGGGCGGCCCCGCCGAGGGGAGCATGACAGCTGGGCTCCACCGCGGCCGCGGACCAGTCGCGGCAGAAGACGTTAGCCAGTTGCGACGACTGGTAGTACGAGCTGGAGACGTTGGCTTTGGCTTATGGCCTGCGGGCTGCAGCTGTGCAGCCTGTAGCTGCAGCCCCGCGCCTCCGCTCCCGCAGCCGGCCAACCGGCTGGTGGCCCACATGTCATGGACGCACGCGGATCTTTTTTTTTTTTTTTTTTGAGGGGGGATCTTTCTTTCTTCGCGGCGATTGCTCCGGCACCGTGTGTCCGTGTAGTGGGCAACCGATAGCAGGTACGGAAGTAGGAGTAGTAGCACCCAGCGCCCAACCGGTACTAACTGCAAGGCCCACATGTAATTGACGCTGTTAGCTTCGGTTAGAGGGGCCCACCCTCACCGTTCCAACTCGATCCCGTTAAATGCCCGTGTTAAATGGGGGCATTTACACCTCGGTGACTCCGTCATTAAACGTTCCAAGGTTGGAACAGACCTGGAAAGGCTTCGCTCGGCCGTTTTTTACAGCTTTTATCAGTTAACGATGCAGTAACCAGTGAAACGATGTTGGCCTTTTGTACAGTACTACTATCTTTTGCAGTTTTTTTTTGCCTGCCTGCCCGTGCCGGCCATTGTTTTTAGGGAAAATTGGTCGTGTGGCATTGAAAGATCGCGATCTCCGTAAAATGCATCAAAAGTTTGCGCCCCCGTAAAATACCACCGAAAGGTCGGACCATAAATTAAAAGTAGCATTATGTTAAAATGAAGGAACGGAGCTGTTATCTTGGTAAAAAATAACCCCCGACCAGTGATCGCGTGCGCGACGTTTGCCATGGCCTGGGCGTAGCCGGGCCGGAGCTCGCCCACGCGTTGTCGGTGCTGGCGTCGAAGCAGCAGCCGAGCTGGTTCGCGACGGGCATCGTGGTCCGCCTGAGGCATCCTCGCGCGTGGACGCCGGAGGAGGACGCGCGCCCACGGCGCCTGGCCAAGGTAAACAGCACTAAGGCCGCCGCGGCGCTCCCGAAGGAGATCAGCCACGAGCTAACCGAGCTCCGTGGCGAGCCCGCCGGTCGAAGCGTCTGCTGTCGCACTTGCCGAGGCCGAGGCCGTGGCCCTAGAGCTGGCACCCTCGGCGGCCGCCGCCGCCGCCCAGCGCCTGCACCTACGCCGCGCCGGGGCAAGGTGCGCGTGGCAGTGCTCGCGACGCTCGCCGCCGACGTCGCGCTTGCCATGCCAATGAGTGGTACGACCACGCCCTGCCCCCACCTGATCGTGACTGTTTGTTACACGTATATGCGTAATAGCTGTCGTTACCTTGTTTTGCATTGCTGCATTGTTGTTAGTTTGTTACAGTACAATCTTAGAATGGCTCATCGCTGCATTGCTGCACATTTTGCTCCATTCCTCTGACGAAACTGAAGTAACATCTCACCGGCCAGATGCATAGTTGTGACTTGTGAGTCACGGGCAAAGACCAATCGAGTGGAGGCATTGTGCAGGGCGAGGCGGTGTCTTGGGCCGGCTGTTCGGCGGAGGCGCTGCAAAGTGAGACACCGTGGTGGTGGTGGAGGCGGTGCCTGTGCCCTCGTGGCGGCCGGCGGAGGAGGCGCCATGAGATGCCCACAGTGGTGGTCGTATACGACCGACACCCATGACGACCGTGGAGGTGGCGGTGTCGTATGCTGAGCGGGCAAACCCAAGCGCGGAACCGAGAACACCGCGTGCGTGATTCCCGTCTCGGTCTTGGATGAGTGAGAAAGGATAAGGTAAGGGAAATAGATAATTTCATGTTTGGGTTTAAGATCAATTTGACTTTTCTATATATAAAAGCTGACGGAATGCTACTTCTAATTCATGGTGCAACATTTCAGTGATATTTTACAGGGACACGAACTTTCAATGATATTTTACAGAGATCACGATCTTTCGATGCTACACAAGTAATTTTTCCTTTTTTTACTCCCATAGGTGGGATAGACCATGCTTTGGGGAGTGGAGACGAGAGCAAAGGCCCAAGGGCAAAGGCGATGGAACGGCTGGCAATGGCACATCATACTCTGTATGATTAGAATAGCGTTGGCGTCAGTGCAACGGAGAGGCTGCGACCTGCGAGATGAGATCCGTTTGCTTGTGTGTGTGATTATTAAACTACGCGCGCCAGCCCCTCGCGGTGTCTGTCCTCTGTCCTGGATGCCGGATCTTGCCACGGTGGAGGCCACGGGCTAGTGGCCACCGCCATCGTTGCCCTCGGTTCCGGGTGCTCTCGCACGTGCCGAATGCCAGATTGGGCAGTCGCCCAGCCACCTTTACCCCGACGGCTGCGGACACCTTTTGGCCGTTGTACGGGGGCGGCGGGGGAGGGCAGCAGAGCGGCAGATGTAGGAATGGGAACGGTGGGAACGGCCAATACTGTATTGGGGTGGTAGCTCAACCCACCGCAACAAAGCCAGTAATGAGCCGTAACCGTAAGGTTGATCTTAAATAGAAACTGGTCCGGAGTTAGTAGGATCTAGTGACCCATCGGGTAACCTAGGTTAGAGTAAGGTTGATCTTAAATAGAAACGGATCCATACCCAAGTCTTGATCCCTGCTCACGTGTTTGTGCCTGATACGAATCATTTTTCACTCGGAACCCACGCATCCGTGTCATGTCCGATTTCGATCAATACAAAAAATTGTGACCCCTGGTGCAGAATTGTTAAGCTCAACTTGGATCATGACCATGAGGATGGCATGATTGTGTACTTGTATGGCTCGGTTCTATAAAACTGTAAGCTTGTGGATTTCATGAGTATAGTAATAACGCCCAATTTGTTGTTCAGTATATGAATAGTATAAAGTGACAGATACATCGACTGACCCATGCTGTGTACATATATGAATAATAAAGCAGAGTGACAATATTTCGGATCGGCGCATAATATCCGTGAGGATTTTAGCTAGTAATTTAAAACCCATGTTCGGCATGTTCGCGGGTTGGTTTCTGGGCTAGTTTGGGCTGGCTGGTGCTGGTTTATCGTGAGAGAAAAACACTATTGGCTGGCTGGTTTAGACTGGCTGATACCAACAAATGAACAGACTGGTTGTCTACGTGTATGAATAATAAAGCAGGGCGACAATATTTTAGATCGGCAAATAAATATCCATTTCGCTCCTAGCCACAGCCCACAGGTCGCCGGCCCGGGCAGCCGGGCCGGGGCCGCCTCTGATACTGCCACACCCAACGATCTTGCAGCCTTTGCAGGAGGACACAGGAGCGCCCTGTTTCCGCCCCCACGCCGGCAACGTCCTGTCAGAAGATGGCTGCGTCTATCAATCCATGTGGATCGAGGCGCCCCGTCAGCAAACAGTTTGTAGTGGCGCGCCATTTCTGATGGCGGAACGTGGTCTCACACGAAATCCATGCTCTGATCCCCCCTACGCCCGCTACCCTATCTACTAGTACAGCCATCTCTGATCAGTGAACGAGCTCCTTTTCCTGGAGAGGTCGGATGCTGGTGTTGTTGGCGCACATGCTGCTGTCCTAGGGACCGCTGATCTGAA